CCCAAAACCCCCAACTCTTTACATGAATATAGGCAATCTGTCAGCAATTAGTGTACAAATGCCCGAACCCCGAGGAAAAACATGGGTACATTAAGGGTGCTCCATGCATCCCTAATCACCTTTCTACTGTTCCCTGCATCAGTAGAGAGTACTAGAAAACTAACAAACAACCTGTTGGCACTAATTGGACAGAGCATTAATCAATCTTAAAACTTTGAAGCTGTCCTCAACATTTTTTTTTGGCAATGTCCTCGACATTCACTATAACTATAATTTCCACTTTAACTGTCTCAATTTCAAATTTTAAATTACTCCTCAAGATCCATCTTTTCCCATTCCAATCAACAAATTCCATAAGAAAAAACATATAAACAAAAAAAACAAAAATATTAGAGCAAACTCTTCTCTCTTCTCTCTCAGCGCACGATAGCGTGCTCTTGCTAACGTACACTGGCCAGCAATGGGGAGGGGTAGACCAAAGAGAAATGCAGTCACGATTCATCGGGTGGAGTCTATGGGAACTAGTAACAACACTCAAAGCATTGGAGCTCAGAATTCTCAGATCGAAGTGAAGAGAAAACACCAATGGAATAGTGGCCACCATTATCAGCTACGAAGGAAGGTATGAAAACACCTCCTACTATGAATATTGTACCGGTAATTGCGAGTGAGAAGACAACAACTGGAAATCAGTTGACAGAGATTAACCCTAAATCAAAGCAAATTGACATGCATGTGAGTAATCCAGTAGCAATTGCTGAAAATTTGGGGGAAATTAAGGGCAAGGAGGACACTGCTAAAAGACAAGACGAAGTAATTACTGAGAATGCAGAACCGGATCAAAAGAAGTAGGCAAACTTGTTTATAGGTAACAGGATGGCGGCGAAAGGAATGGATCTAAGCTTCATTGCACCAACCATAAAAAATGGTGAGGTAATAGTTGAACTATGCAAGGAGGAAGTGGAAGAGGAGACACAGAAGTGGAAACAAGCACTGATTCTCTATGTAGTTGGAGCCCCAACCATAGGAGCTATGGAGCGATTCATTGCTTCAGCATGGAATTTTACAACAAAACCAAAAGTTTATTTTCATAACGATGGATATTTTATTGTAAGATTTAACTCTATCAGTTGACAGAGATGAAGTTCTGTATTCTGGACCTCATATGCTAAATAACAAGCCAATTATCATGAGAGTATGGTCAGCTGATTTTGATTTCAACAAAGACGTGCTGAGGATTATTCCTGTATGGGTTAAGTATCCTAATCTCCCACTCAATTGTTGGGGAGTAAAGCCATTGAGCAGGATAAGTAGTGGATTAGGGATTCCCCTATATGGAGATGCATGTACCACTCAGTTGGATCGAATTTCCTACGCTAGAGTACTAATTGAAATGAATGTTACTAAAGATCTTCCCAAAGCTATAAAGGTAGGTAACAGATCCTAATGGGAGAGAATTTATGCAAGAGGTGGCATATGACTGGGTTCCTGAATTTTGTCACACTTGCATGCAAGTGGGACATCAGTGTAATAAAGAAGAGCAACCAACACTTAAAGCTAAAACCAAGCAGCAGAAGCAAAAACAAGAATGGCAGCCCAAAGTGATTCAGAATGACAAGGGGACTCAGCCAAATGCAATAGCCAACAGCAGTAAAGAGGTAGCAGTGCTCAATGAGGCAAAGGACAACTGTGTAAGATCACCTATGAAACTAGCAAGAGGAGAGCAGGAACATGCATGGAAAAAAGCTACAAGGAAATCAAGAGGAGCCAAGAAGATGATGTCATCAGCATGATTAATGGTTTCAACATATTGGCAGTCTGGATTACAGCTAACATATCACAGACAATTGGAAGAGGATACAAGTAGTCAGAGGAGCCAAAAAGGCGTGGAAGGAGGGACACAATCTCTATTCATTCCTGTATGAAGCTTGCTACATGGAATATTAGGGGTTTGAACAAGATCCCTAGGCAGAAAGAGGTCAAGAGGTTTATAAGAAGTAATAGAATAAATATGATAGAACTACTAGAACACAAAATAAAGGAGCAGAATGTCATACAAATAATAAGGAAAATACTCCAGGATGGGCTTGGTTTGCCAATTATTATTATGAATATAATAGTAGAGGAAGAATTTGGCTACTATGGGCTACCAATGAGATAGAGTGCTTGGAATTGGGGAAGTCCTCCCAATACATTCATACTGCAGTCCACATCAAGAGTATGAGCATGAGATTCACTTTCACTACGGTGTATGGCCTGCATACACTAGAAGATAGGAGATGCTTATGGAGTGACTTGAATGGATGGAATAATGTACAGCAGGGGCCATGGCTGATAATGGGAGACTATAATGCTATCAGATCAGGGGACGATAGACCAATTGGAAACCCTGTGCAAGAGGCTAAGATTAGGGACTTCAATGACTTCATTGAGCATAATGTTTTGACAGAAATTAGAACAAATGGAAGGAATTTCACATGGACAAATGGTCACACATACAGCAGAATAGACAGAGCCTTGGTGAATGCTGAATGGATGCTGCAAATGCCACATCTAGAAGTAAGGGTAATGGATCCAGGTTGTTCTGATCAGTCTCCCCTATGTATTATCTTTGAAGATAATGAGGATAAAGATCCCAGACCTTTTAAGTTTCTAAATCATTTAGCTGAGCATAAAGAATTCCTGGTCAAAGTTAATGAAGCCTGGCAAAGGAGTGGTGGGATAAATATCATGAAGGATGTATGGTGCAAACTGAAAAAGGTGAAGCAAGCTATGAAAGACCTGAATAAACCAGAGTATAGTGCAGTAGGTGACAAGATCAAACATTGCAGGCAGCAACTTAGTGAACTACAGGAACAAATGAGAGACTCTGGACAATCTAAAGATATGATTATAGCAGAAAAAGACACAAAGGCACAACTAGAGAAATGGCTTGGGGTGGAAGAAAGTATCATGAAACAAAAATCTAGAGTACATTGGCTGAAGTTAGGAGATACTAACACAGCTTATTTTTTTGCAAGCATGAAAAGCAGATACTCTCATAACAAAATTAAGAGTCTAATAAGGGGCAATGGGGAGATGGTGCAGGCTAAACATGAGATTAAAGAGGAAGTGCTTGGCTTCTACAAGCAGCTACTGGGATCATCAGCTGAAAACTTGCCTTCTATTAATCCAGTAGTGATGAGGGATGGATCATTGGTGAATAGACAACAACAGCTTCAATTAGTGAAAGATGTAGCTAAAGAGGAAGTATATAAGGCACTGCTAGGTATCAATGACAACAAAGCACCTGGTTGTGATGGTTTCAATGCTTTATTTTTTAAGAAAGCTTGGTCTGTGATTGGAGACAAGGTTACAGAGGCAGTGATGGAGTTCTTTACAAGTGCTAACCTCTATCAACATATCCATTGCACAACAGTTACTCTTGTGCCAAAGGTGGAAAACCCATCCAGAATCACTAAATACCGACCAATATCATGTTGCACCATCGTATACAAAATTATCTCTAAGGTGATAACCAACAGATTGCAGGGTATAATGGATGACATAGTTGATAGAAACCAATCTGCCTTTGTGCCTGGAAGACTAATAAATGACAATATAATATTGCATCATAAACTAGTTAAAGGCTATGGCAAAAAAGGTTTATCCCCAAGATGCATGCTGAAAGTTGATATGAAGAAGGCTTATGACTCTATTGAATGGGACTATATGGAGCAAGTTCTAACGAATCTGCAAATGCCAGGAAGATTTGTTCAATGGATTATGAAATGTGTGAGAAGTCCTACTCCATCATCATCAATGGGCAACATACAACTCCATTCCATGCAAAAAAAGGATTGAGACAGGGTGACCCTTTATCTCCTTACCTATTTGTATTGGCCATGGAATACTTGACTAGATTACTGAAGACACTAAAGATGAATCCAAACTTCAACTATCACCCTAAGTGAACATAGTACAGCTTAGCTTTGATGATGATCTTTTGCTTTTCTGTAGAGGTGATACTATATCTGTGCAGCTACTTTATCAATGCTTTCAAGGTTTCTCTCAAGCTTCTGGTTTAGTTGCAAATGCTGACAAGAGTTCTATCTTCTTTGGGGGAGTCAGGGATGATATTGAACAGGAAATACTGCAAGTATTAGGCTTCTCTAAAGGATCACTACCAGTGAGGTATCTGGGGGTGCCTCTGAGTACTAAAAGGCTATCATTGGTACAATGTCAACCACTGATTGAGAAGATGCTAGGGAGAATACAATCATGGACTGCCAGATTCCTGTCATATGCAGGAAGAATCCAACTGATTAAGAGTGTGCTATTCTCCATACAAGTGTTTTGGTCACAGGTGTTTATGCAGCCTAAGAAACTGATCCAACTAATAGAGAGTGTCTGCAGAAGGTTTCTATCGACGGGAGGGGTGGAGGTCACAAAAAAAACATTACTGGCTTGGGATAGATTATGCTGGCCAAAAGCAGCAGGGGGATTGAATATACTGGACATAGGCATATGGAATAAAGCAACCATCTGCAAATTGTTATGGAATTTAAGGAGGAAGAAAGATAAAATGTGGATACAATGGGTCCATCTATACTAGAAGAGATACACTACTTGGGGTGCTCAACCAAAGCAAGCATCGTGGGTGGTCCAAAAAATACTAAAAGCAAAGAAACACTTTGAGGAAGCTGGGTACTCAGAAGAAGAGGTGTTGCAAATGGAAAAATTCTCAATCAAGGCTATGTACTTGAAACTTAGAGGGGACTTTACAAAGGTAACATGGAGGAGGATGACATGCAATAATGTCGGGCTCCCTAAGTGGACATTCACACTATTCCTGGTTGCACACAGAAGATTATTAACAAGAGAAAGATTAGGGAGATGGGGTTGCTTGGAGGATACATCATGCTCACTATGCAACAGAGAAGAAGAAACTATTGACCATTTATTCTTGAAATGCTCATTTTCAACACAGGTATAGGCAGCAATGCTAGACTGGCAAGGAATACAGAGGCAGGTGATGACTTGGGAACACGAATTGGAATGGGCTGAAAGACATTACAAAGGAAGGATGGCACTAGCTGGTAGTATATACTATATATGGCAAGAGAGGAATGCACGAATATTTCAAGCAAGACAGGGGAATGCTGAAACAATTACTCGACAACTAGTACAAGAAATTCACTGTCGAGGGAACATGAAACAAAGATTGAAGGGAAGGTTATTAGAGTTAAACTACTACCCTACTGTTCATATGGATATGTAAAAACAGGTATAGTAGTTAGAAGGAACAAGAATGAGAAGTCAAGCTGAATCTGGGACTGATGTCCAGATCCGGCTAGAGAGAGAAATACTGTGTAAATATTACTTGGTAAATAAAATTGTTTAGTTACCAAAAAGAACAAAAAAAAAAAAATCAATTGCACCACTATTCTTTGAATGCACCAACAGCTTCCATAATTGCAAGTTCCAAAATCTATTTCAAGATTCATCTGTTCCCATGCCAATTCACCAATTCATTCCACGGCTACCTTTCTAGACTTCATCAAGATCCATTTTTCTCCATTCCAACTCTCAAATTTCACCGGAAGAAAACAAACACATAACCCTATTCATTCTGCCAAAACTCTTTTAATGCATCAACAGAGAGAGTGTAATTTCTCTTTTTCCCCGTTCTATTTCTCGACCACTACTCTTCCAATACATAAACAAAGGCACAAATTGGGCAAACACCACCATTATTTTAAACAAAGAGATAATAAGTGCTACTATTAAATGCATCAAAAGACAGAATGAGAGAGGGAAGAATAGAAAAGAAAGCAACCTGCTGGCACCATTTGGAGAGGACATTGAGACGGAGCATACGCTGCTGAGTCTTGACTATGTATTTCAGAATCCCAATTTTCTTCTCGGAGTCAGAGAGGTCAGAGGACTTGCACTTCTCCACCAGCTCATTTAACGTCGCGTACGACTCCTCAGCCGTCCGGCTTACCAGCGCCGAGAAATCCACCGTCTGCTGCCCTAATTCCGCCATCTCCCTAACAACCCCTTCTTCAATTAAATTCCGGCGATCCCGAATCCCAATTCCTACTTAAAGAACACCATTTTAGGAGAATTGACTGTGATTATTTTAGGGTTTTGAAAAATTGAGGAATTTAGGATCTGTATATTGTTTATTCTTGTTGGGTTGATTTTGAAGGCGCCCGAGGAGCGGTGACGCGAGTGTTTTATGATGTCCTAAATACCACTTCTGTTCTGAGCAAGGGAGACTATTCTATTTTTCTTTTGGTTTTCTTTTTATAGAAGAAGATTGGATGTCTGTGCAAGTCGAATATGGTATTCTCTTATGTGTTCGTGGAAAGAGTCCTAGAAAAGTCAAAACTGAGAAATCCTCTTAGAAAAGTACATGAAAAGAATAACATAATATATTTAGCCAAATTAAAAAGTAATTTTGTAAGCATAAAAAAATAATTCATGTTTGGCTAATCTTTTTCAATAGTTATTTTGATCGTCGCATAAACAACAATAACAACAAATCCAATAAAATCCTGCAAGTGGGGTTTGAGGAAGGTAAAGTGTAGGCAGACTTTACCCCTACCTTATGACGGTACAGAGGTTGTTTCTGAAAAACCATCGGCTCAAGAGAAATGAAAATAAAACAATAGACAAACAGTGGGCGAACGGTACAAATAGCCACTAAAAGTTGTGGCTTTTATTTTAAAGCCATTGTTTTCAATGTATTTAGACTTTAGCCACTCCTTTTAAAAAACTTATACCTGACTGAACGGAAATACCCTTCTGGTATAACTTATACCTACGCTATCAACACAAGAAGCAGTTACACAAAGAGAAGAAGCGAGCAACAACAGCAGCGGCGATCAACTGAGGACGAACCACCATTTCTCTTCCCGATTTCAAAAATACAGCAATCTAATCCAAAAAACAACATAGATAAACAATAAGTTGTAATTTCATGTGTTTCTATCAATTTTTATTTCGCTATAGTTATACTTTTTTAGATCTGTATTGATTTGATTATATATTAGATAAGAATTTGATTTTTTTTTAATTTGTGGATTGATAAATTTATAGACACCGCCTCCTATGATAATTCTGTATTCCAGACATAGTGTCTTCATTTTGGAAATTGAATTCAAAAAAATAAGAACATTATGTCCTTAACTTTGATTCTACTGGCCTCATTTTGCAAATTGAATAAAAAAACTTAAGGACAAAATGTCCTTCACTTTGTTGTTGTTCTTCTGTATACAAAGTCCTGTAGCTTGAGTTTCAAATTGTATGTTTTAATTTCTGGTTCAAATGTTAAGGACTGACAGTCCTTAACTCTTAAATACATGTTTAAATGTTAAGGACTAGCAGTCCTTAACTTTTAATTCCATGTTTAAATGTTAAAGGACAGGCAGTCCTTAGCTTTTAATTTCTGGTTCAAAAGTTAAGGACTGGTAGTCCTTAACTTTTAATTCCATGTTTAAAACTTAAGGACTAGCAGTCCTTAACTTTTAATTTTAATTCCATGTTTAAATGTTAAAGGACAGACACTCCTTAGCTTTTAATTTATGGTTCAAAAGTTAAGGACTAGCAGTCCTTAACTTTTAATTTTAATTCCATGTTTAAATGTTAAAGGACAGACACTCCTTAGCTTTTAATTTATGGTTCAAAAGTTAAGGACTAGCAGTCCTTAAGTTTTAATTCCATGTTTAAATGTTAAGGACTGGCAGTCTTTAACTTTAATTACATGTTTAAATATTAAAGGACAGACAGTCCTTAGCTTTTCATTTCTTGTT